ATATATATATATATATATCCCCGGTGCTCCCACCTCTTTCTCTCACTCTCTCCCCCTTACTCTCTCTCTTTCCATCCCATATTTTTTTTATTTATTTTTATCAATTTTAATAATATTATTAAAATTTATTTTTCTTCTACATTTTAATGGTATTTATTAATATTTTTTTATTTGAATGAAATAAAATAATATTTTTATTCTTCTTAATTATAATTTAACATTTTTCTTTTTGTTAAATTCTATATTTAAATAATTTTAATAAATTTTTAACTTTTTAGAATATTTTAACATCATATTTGTAATAAGATTTTGATAAATAAATATATCTAATAAATTTATTTTAATAAAAATATTTTTGTAAAAAAATATTTGTATACTCATGAATATATTATTGTAACGAAATATGAAAATTTTTAATTCTCGATAATTTTATATGAATATTTTTAGAAACTTTTGTGAGTAACTAAATATATTTTAACTATTATTAAGAATTATGATTTTTAAAATTTTTAATTTTAAGAATTATAATTTTTGGATATAAAAAAATTTCTCCTCTATCAAACTTTCCTTTAAAGTAATAAATAAAAGTATTATTTATAATAAATGTGATGAAAGATTTAAATAAATGTAATATATAATATTTATTATATAATTTATAAGAAATCGTAAAAATAAAATATATTATTGTAACGAAATATTTATATACTCATGAATATATTATTGTAACGAAATATGAAAATTTTTAATTCTCGATAATTTTATATGAATATTTTTAGAAACTTTTGTGAGTAACTAAATATATTTTAACTATTATTAAGAATTATGATTTTTAAAATTTTTAATTTTAAGAATTATAATTTTTGGATATAAAAAAATTTCTCCTCTATCAAACTTTCCTTTAAAGTAATAAATAAAAGTATTATTTATAATAAATGTGATGAAAGATTTAAATAAATGTAATATATAATATTTATTATATAATTTATAAGAAATCGTAAAA